AAAGTGTTCCAATCTACATCTTACTATTTTATAAGCCAGGGATTAATATCTGTGCTTTTGTGAGATAAGGCTTAAAGTAAAACATAAAAATATATAGATTTAAAAAGTTTAGTATTTCATGCAGAAACATAGGCATGAACTGTACCAAAATTACAAATTAAATTTAATAGGCAGAATTTACTAAATGTACTGGATATTTGCTAAGAAAATAGATGTGCATCCAACAAAAAGGTAACTATTTTATTGCTAATTTGCTTGACTTTAGTAATCATCTCACTGTGTGTGTACATACACAAATATCATGTATGCCTTAAATATATGACTATTTTTTTAGTTTGAAAGAATAATTATGCATTTAAAATAAATGAAAAAACTTAAGGGAAGCAGAAGTCTTCATAGCTAATGTGAAAGAGTTTGAAATGTTTTTCAAGTAAATGAGGACACCTACTGAAATTCAGAGATCTTTAAATAACTTATGGCCAATGAGAAAGCTCAACTGCACTTTTATTTGAATACCTCTCTGTTGGCAAACACAGAAAAAGATAGGCAAGTATTTGACAATGTCAAGCTTAAAAACCCTCATTCACTTGCCTTAGACCAAATGAAAATTTTGAAAGTGAAGCTTCTCTTCTATAAATTTTCTATTTCTTGAGATAGTTAAAATGACCAGAGGATTCTAGTTTAGGATCTTAGATGAAAGGAAGATATATATGAAGTGGGTTGATGGTCAAAGTTTGCTCTGGAGTTTCAATCACTAAAATTGAAAAAAAAAATTGTTTACCAAATATGCCATACAGTTATTAAATTTTTCTTTAAGTTATTTAATTTTTAATATCTTCACCATAGCTAAAATTTTTAATATAAAAATAAAAAAACTGCTCCACTTTTAATACATGATCCTGAACAAATTATTTAAACTCTGTGGTGTTGAGTTTATTCATCTGTATTCTGAGGTTATTGAACTAGGCATTATCCAGTATCTCCTCTAAATTTTAATGTTTGAGAATCTAAACACAGCATTCTTTTAAATTACTACTTTAAAAGTAGGTAGAAATTTTGCAATTTGAAACATAAAATTTATTGTGTACCTTTTACCTCTAGAAAGCAGTCTCATTTTTTAAACATACCTTACAGACCCATCATATCAGGGGTCACTCATAATTCAATATTTTATTACTCTCAGGCCTGCTGTGAATAAACATAAGATATTTGAAACTTTGGGTTCTCCAGATTAAAGTTTTTCAAGAGTCAGTTTCAGCTAAGTGCAATCTAAGTAACTTCCTCATATCAATCATATGTGAGGTTCAGAAATAAGCACATTGATGTATTTGGCTCATTATATACTGTCTAGTATCTTTTTTCTCATAAGCACATAATCTTAATAATTTGTGTCCCTTATATGAAACATTTTAATGTGGATACATTTAATCTATAATTTTTTTACATCTTCATGTGTCATGTCCTACCAGTTACTGAATGGATATGCTACAGATCCTGTAGATTTTGAGAGTTGCAGTATATAAGCTTAACAGCCAGGGGAAAATAGCAAGTACTGTGGAAAACTGTCAGGCAATCAACATTCATAGTTATTAATAAGTAAAAGAGAAACAAACCAATGTAATTTTTTAAAAAAAATGATTTAGTGAAAGGTATCTATTTGGCAATTACACAAATATGAAACTCTTACTTTGAAATAATTTATCAATTTTAGAAAAAAATAATTTCTATAGATAGTAAATTCTACAGGAGATATGTAGTGTCATATGTTTAAAAATATTTAGGCAAGAAAAAGTAGTATAGAGAAGTTTGAATTGATGTGAAGAAGTAGGACTAAATGTTTCAGGAAAAATATTTTTTTAAAAAATCAAGCTTGCCTTTGTCATATAAGTGGTACAATCTAAATTCTACACTGTAACAGGAGGAAAAGATCTTATAGGGCTGGAATGAAGGCTTTTGTCAAAGAGGTGATATTTGGATTGGGTATGAACACTGGGATAGACATCTGATAAGTGAAGATATAAGAAAATAGAATTGCAGTGACAATAAAGCAAAGGCAAAGAGCTTAAATCAAATTGGCTGGTACAAAGGACTACCCTAAAAACTGCTTAAAAAGAACAGGGTGAATGGGGAATGGGAGTCAAGAAACAGACAAATGCTTCACACTTCAACTTTTTCTTATGCATACATGACTATGTTTGCAATTTGAGAAGACATAAATCACAATTGCAACAGATTAGACTGAAAGGAGGAAAACTGACAAAAAAAGAAAAGTTTTGACAAACTTAAGAGGAATTTTAGAGCTCACTGTTCTGCATGTTTTGCCTTCCGTCCAACTTCCAAGATTTACCTCCCAAAGCTCATCATGATCATTTGTTTCAATCTACTGGGACTAGGCATTCTGTTCTTTGAGCAAGTACAAACTTTCCCTGCCTCTGTATTTGCTGTATTATAACAGTCTACCCACTAGTTCAGAGCCAAGTGAAATACCACCTCCTCAACAAAAGCCTTCTCTAATTATCTCAGTTCTAGAAGATCCTTCCCTCCTGTTCTATTATTGAGTTCAGATTGCACTACTCAAATGATACAAATAACCTAAAGTTGTAAATATGTATGTATTTGTTTACTGAATCCTACAGAATTATAAAATTCCTCAAGGGCAGAAACTGCATAATACAATTTTTTGCATACCACATGATTTTGCATTTTCATAAGCTAGTCTACAAAAACAAAACCCAACTCACAAAATAATGCTAAATAAAATTTTGTTGAATGAATGCATTCCACTGACACATTTTTATTCCCTTCATTTTTCTCCTTATTCTTATGGAGCAATCATTATATTGAGTCCATTTTTTATTCTTACCTTCTAACTCTGGGACAGTAAAATGATTGAAACATATCTGTGTTCACCCCAAAATACTTTCACCATAAGGGTAAAAAGAGGCATCAGAGGGTTGGGAATGTGGCTCAGTGGTAAAGTACTTAGCATGCTCAAGATGCTGACTTTGATTCCCAGCACCACAAAAATTTTTAAAAGCAAATTAAAAAATAAGAATTTAACAAGAAGTATCAGACCATGAAGGAATTGTCCCAATAACTGTGGATCAAAGGAAGCAATTAAATGTCTTTCTGATTTATTTACTTAAACAAGAATACAATATGTGTTGTGGGAAGGAAACTGAGCTGAGATCAGTCTTATTTTAACTTATTTGTTTAATGCTACACTGTAGCTGTTGGAAAAGAAGGGGCAAACCCCAAAATGATGTGGTCTTCTCTTGAGGCTTCATTTTATTTTGAAGGGATGGGTTTTGGGCATTCTGTAGCAGATATGGTATTCATCTTTTAAATGATAATTACAATTTTTTAATCCACATGAACACAAATGTAATTCTTCCTTAAAGTAACTGTTTAAAAGATTAACTTTTCCCTTCTATTAAACTTCCAGATTAGGAATGTGGAGTATTGTTGGGGCACTTTCTAACATAATTATCTCTTAACAGCAACCAAAGCAAGGCACAACTGAAAAGGGGCTGCAAGGATCTGAGTCCCCCACCCCTTTTAACCATTACTGTTACCAAGTACTTTATGTAATCTCCACACAGAGACCCAAAACCTTTAGGTCTCAGGAACTGATACTGGAAGGAAGCTACAAGTGTCTCTTACAAAAAAACGTTCCCTAAACTAGATTGGGACTTGAGTAAAGCTAGGGAGAACTCTCCTTGGGCCAAAACTTTAAGGGGTTACCCCAAAATTCAATATTGAAAACAAATGATATTTTTAAAAATAACATGTTGGTAATTTTCTTTTTCTTTAAATTTTTTTTTAGTTGTAGATGACACAATACCTATTTATTTATTTATTTATTTATCTTTATGTGGTGCTGAGGACTGAACCCACTGCCTCACACATGCTAGGCAAGCATTCTACCACTGGGCTACAACCATAGTCCTGACAAATATTTTAATGCAATATTTAAAAGATCAGATTTAATGCAAAAAAATCTATGATGAACAAAATATCAAAAATTTAAATAAAGATAGAATCTTGTCCTGCACCTGCATAACTCACCTCGACCTAATCTCCTGAGTTTTGGGCACAACCTTAAATTTTGTGGCCATGGTTAGTGCCTCCATGGCTTTATGGTAATCCAAACTGTGAGTCCTAAATGTGCAAGGCACCTTCCTGAGTCCCTTCACTAAATCTACTTTAGGATTAAAAATCCATTCCAACAGTGTTTTTCCTCTGCTATATTATGCAGAGGAAAATTTCCTTCAGGGTTACATTGAATTCTTAGTGGATTCCCGCCAAATGGGATAACGGTATTTTAACGGGTATCCCCGCCCCCAGAAGCCTTTCTCTCTTCCAGTTCCCAGTTTTGTCTATACTCTCCGCCTGTGGGAGGCATGCCATTTGGGCACCCACCCACCTCATGCCAGGACCCTTATGCTTCTTTGGTGGGGAGTTCACGCAGTTAAATAAAGATTCCCACGCTTTTTCGCTCTCTGAATGAATGCTCCTGTCATTTCATCTTCTCCACCTTCTTGCCAATGTGTAAGGAAAACTGCGCCTCAAACTCAACCAGGTCTCAAGAGCACTTTTTCTCCTGCGAAATGGGAATGGCGGGGGTTTTGGAAACTAGAGAAAGCAACAGTTTGGGGCATTTGCTTGTCATTACAGCATAAAAGAAAAGAAATGAAGACAACTCTGGGTTTCCTTCAGATCATGTCCGAGCGCTACGCTCCTACGAAGTCCGCGTGCTCCTCCACCCCACCCGCAGTCAGCCAGCAGCGTAGAAGAGCTTCGGGAAAGTCCGCGGGCCACGCCTCCCACTGGCCACCTCCTCTTATTGGCTTGACAGCCTGTCACTCCAACCTGGCTCACATTTCTTCTAACCATTCACGTAGTTTGGTTGCGTCTTGGTGTGTTTAAGGTTGCCAATAACGAGAGCTTTTTTTTTTTCTTTTTTTCTTTTTTTCTTTTTTTTTTTTTTTTTTTTTGAGGCGAGTACAGGTCGTGCGGCAATTAGTTCATTGAAAACTCAGTTGCTGTCCCAGCGGTCGGACAGAGAGTGCTCTAGTCTAGGCTTCTTTTCTGCTATTAAGATCTTCTATAGAGAGCTGCAACAATGCCCAAAAGAAAGGTAAGTGAAATGGGAAGACCGAAGGGGAGATTAACTTGTGTAATACAAATTTCCTAAGGCGGATAATTTTTAAAAAGCATTTCAGCTTCTAGTTTGATTTTATGATGTACTGAAAGGACAGGGAGGGAAGGGCAAAGAGCTGTCGGTGTAAGGTTTAAGATGATCTCGCATGCAACTGGTAGTTCACTTTTGGCGTGTTTTGTTTAAGGAGAAGAATCGCTGGAGAGGTGTCTCCATGCTGAATTACAAACAGCCATAGCGCTGTGCTGTCGCTTCCTACCCCACCCCCCTCCCTTCGCTTGCCCTATTGGAGAACACTTCTCCCAACCACACTTCCAGGGAACAGTTTCCTACTCTGCCTCCGGGTTTTCTTGGGGCACGATCACCTTTGGGGAAAGGAAAACTACAGCTTTCTCCTATATTTGCCTTTGTTCTTTCCGTTTTCTCCCCCCCCCCTTTTTTTTTCTCTCTTCCCTCCTCCACTTCTTGTCATGCCAGATGGCTGTGCAATGGTAACTCTGTGCCATTAGGCGGCGCAGACTTCAAACTATCCTAGCAAAGGGAGAGATTCACAGATGTAATTAGAAACTTCAGGGCTGGGAGATCTGGCACACTCCAAGATCTCTAGCTAAAGGTGAAAAGGTGATAAGAGAGCCGTGGCCGATAAACTATTGCCTATGTTGGGGAAGAGTGGGATTTATTCACTTTAGACATACAGAGTTGATCTGAGTTGTTCAGATCTTCTGCCAAAGCTCACTTCAAAATTCCTGGCTCCTTTCAGAAGGGAAATAAGTACACGCTTGGTTTTATTTTTTCCTTGTTTATTTTTCATCAGTATCTTCTAAGGGAAATGGAATGCTATTTCGTTGTTTGATAAAGCCATAAAACACAGTCCTAATATAAGACATTATGATTGTTTTTATATTAATCCTATTAATCTGCCCACCTTCCCTGCTCCTAGAGCCTAAGAATAAGGCTGAAATTCCCCAGTGCTCTAGGGCTGCATGAATCGTGCAATAGCTTGATAACTCCTAGGCTGAAGGGATATTCAGATATGGAAAGCAATCGTTTCTAATCACCATCCCCCTTCCTCATATTCCCGCCGTTCTGCCGGTATGCTTTTCTAGGCTTGTGAAATGAGTCTTGCTATTTCAGAGAGCTGACAGCAACCTTGGAGCAGGTAGTGGAGGGAAGTTTTTAAATCCGCGGCTGAATTTCCAGAGTAAAGCATTAACGTTGTTAACAAAGAGGTTTGCTCTCTAAAGCATTGTGGGGGTTGTAATTCTTGTACGCAAAACTTGAAGAGAATAAGTCCAGAATCAGTGGAGAGGGTCGGATAGGTACATATATTTGCACAGCACATACAAGACAAAACAGACTGTGATATTGCATGAAACACCTTCGTTTTTCCCTCCCCCACCCTAATTTTGGCTTTAAAACTGTACTGCAGGTTAATTCAAAAAGAAAATGGTTTGTTTTTTAGATACTGTTTACACAAGAAGATGGCATTGACTATCAGTTGTGTAAACGTATGTCTTAAGTATGCTTACGAATCTGTGCATGCTTGCACTTTGGTAGACAGCAGAATATAGTTCCTAGGAAACATCACATGGCTACTTGAGAGGGAACTCAGGAAAACATCATAAGTGGTATATTGCAACTATAATCCATAGGTAGTATTTTTATTTATATGCTTACATTGATAACCTTATTTCTGTGTAATATTGTTCTCTGTATAGGCTGCAGGTCAAAGTGATGTGAAGCAAGAGGTGAGTGTCTTTAATTTTAGAATCTGCCTGAAAAAAAATACACTTATTCTATAGACTTCAGGTAGAATAAGATCTAAACATACATGCTGGTGGGTATATTTGTACCATATGAATATCAATATGGTATGCCAGTGAGCTCTTTCATAAATACAATAATAAAAACTCCAAGCTTCTTGAAATCTAGGACTGTGTGCCTGTTAAGATTGGAAAAGAACATCTTAAGAAATAAGAAATGCTTTGTCAGTTAGAAAGAAGGGACTACATTTTCATTTTTAAATATGACCCTTGTTACTAGTCATCATGGTCCTTTATCTTAGGAAGTGAAGCTTAATTTGGGATTTTTCCCCTTAGCCTATGGAGGGTCTAGAGAAAGGGAAAAATGTAACCTTAAATTTCTACATTTATATTCTAACCAATTTCACAATTGCCTCTTTAATGACAATATTTATGTAGTGTTCCATCAAATAGTGTCACTACAATAAAAATCATTCTAGTTTTGTGTAATAATAATTCTCTTAACTGATATTTTTTTTCACTTATAGCCAAAGAGAAGATCAGCCAGATTGTCTGCTGTAAGTAGTCCTTTGAAAAAGCAGCCCATGTATTGTGAAAACTAATTTTAAAATTTAGGGAATTCTGAATAATATTATATTTGATGTAAGAATGAGTTTTGAAGTTTTAAGAAAAAATTTTCACACTTAGGAACTACACTTTTTTCCCTAATACTCAATTTATATCATACATATTTATTTTAATTCAGAGGCAGGATTTTATTTTTAAGGTTCTTTCTTCAATATAATTTCTTCATTTTTCCCTCTTTTTACATGACTTAATTTTTTTTAAATGCAGATGCCTGTGCCCATTATACCAGAGTTGAAACCCAAAAGATCATCAACTTCAAGGGTAAATATTCAACTTCAAATGTTGAAAGAATATTGCTTTTCTGAAGAAATAACTTATGAAAATGCATATATCTGATTATTTTGCTTTTTGAATTTTGTTCAATTAATAATATATTTTACTATATAGTACATATAAAATAATTAGGTGGGGAATTTTTTTCCTGTTTCATAATGATCCACCAGGTTTTGGTATTTTTATTGGGTAAGGACAAAATTTTAGTTAAATAGATTCATTAAATGTCTATGCTTTTGAAGTTTTGTAGTCACAATACCAAATTCCTAGGAGAACAAAGGGTGTAAATTGCAGTAAACAAACTAGTGATTTGTAAAAATAGTAGTAATTAGAATTTGATAATATATACAGGTTGTAAAGTATTTTCATACACATAATTTTTCAGTGGACATAATTGATTTTATATAGATTTCTATGCTGAGATGTTGTGCCTAAAGTCATGTAGACAGAGAAATAACCTCAATATTAAATTCACTTTTAATTGCTTCACACATATTTTAAGGATTTGTTAAATTACTAAAGTCATAGAAATTTGAGGAACATTAGAAATCATCTAATCCTATCATTTTATAGTTGAAGAAATCGCAAATTGTTGTCATGTTGATAAAGTGCTATGAAATCTTTGATTGGAAGGTATTGCTAGAACTAGGGAAAGTAAAGTTTTATTAAGTAATAATTGATCTATTCATATCAGTGACAACAGAAAAGTGTTTATTTTTATTTTATAGTGTCTATGCCTTTTAATGATATTAATCACAGTTAATTTGTATATTGATACAATAGTTATAGAATTGTTCTTCTACAAGTTCTACTTTGAATTCTTAGAATATACAAATAAATTCACACATAATAACAAAATGTGATAATAAAAACATGTATTAAGAATTTGTTCTTAATTTTTCTCCATTATACTTTTCAAGCTCACTATTTTATAAAGTTAACTACCCAATTTATAACTTATTAAAACAGTAAATACATTTTATTTTCTTTTAAAAAGAGGAGATTGGGCTGGAGGTATAGTTCAGTGTTTGAGCACTTGCCTAGCACAAACAAGGCCCTAGGTTTGATCATCAGCATTACAAAGAGAGAGAGAGAGAGAGAGAGAGAGAGAGAGAGAGAGAGAGAAGAAGTGAGAGGAGGAGGGGGGAGGGGGAGAAAATAATGCTAGATTAAATGATATACTATAAAATTATAGATATTAAAATTATTTACCTTTCTTGGCTTTTAGTTTCTCTCTTGTTAAAAAACAATAGCATATTTATATTGTAATTTAGAATTTCTAAAGTAATTTTATATTTGCCTCTTATAAGGTAACTATGACTTGGGTGGTATTGCTCTTTGTACAAATGATAAAACAACCTCAAAGTGATGTATGCTTTTGTTCAAGGTCACATCACATAAGTGACATATCTACAAATCAAGCACAGTTGTTCTGGCCCTTTAACCCAGTGGTCTTTCTACTACCTATATAGCCAGGCATAGAACATTCTTGATAAAGCATTCCTGATTTAAGTCATTTTAAAAATATATGCTACTTTACGTTTTCAATAAAACAAAGTGCGTTATATTAACTTCGTTGACATTGGGCTTATATGTGGCATTTTAAAGCTTTTCCCTAAATTACCACTACAGCTGATGAAGGAAATTTGACCAATTCATCAACATTCTGATTAAATTATGTATTTATTTATTTTTATTCTTTTTGTGTCATTGCACAGAAAATTACCGAAAATGATATGATGGGAAAAAACATAGATACAAATGCCAAAGCAGTTGTTGAAGACAAACAAGATGAAGTTGTTGAAGAAAAGAACAATGAAAATGGAGAAGCCAAAATTATAGAGGTATCTTACAATGTTAACAAATTTATCCACTTGAAAGCTTGAAAATGGATGCAATGGAAAGAAATATTATTTGCCTTTTATTTTAAAAGTTTAGAAACATTAAACGAATAATGATTATACAATTAATAGTAACTAAAGAGAAATGATAATTTAAAATATGAGAATTTAAAGGTACTGGCAATGGGAGAAGTGGCCTAGTATTGGTATTACTTGGAAAATGCTAGTGATCATGACTTGGTACTCTTATTAAATGCAGGCCAATCCTCTCTTGCTTTAGTCAGCATATGGACTATATGTAAATTCCTTTCCAAGAAATCCCCTTCCTGTAAATTCCCTTTATTTTCCCTATAGATTGCAAATCAGGACATTATATAAGTGTTTTAATAGTTTTTTTGCATATTTAATGCATCATTCATTTTCAGATATTGTAGTAAAATACTGAAAATGGGATATAATGATCAAATCTACAAAACAAACATATATATGTGGAGTATCTTCTGTAAGTGTATAGGATTTTGCAATAATCTTTATTTTTAAAAAGCCCAAATTTCCTCTTTATAAAAACAAAATGTATCATTTTCCCAAGGACTATATTTTGTTTACATGCATGCTACTCAGTGAGAATTACTAACACAGAATGACTCTGTAATCCTGTGTTTATTTTGTTCTTCATATTTGTAATGAAAAATATTTATATGAATAAGCCTTCCCAAATTTACTGTTGCAGATTTCTATTTGTGGGTGTTTGTGTGGCTTTATTTATTTCTTAGAATATTTGCCTATGTTGTGATTTTTCTATAGGTGAATTACTTTGTTGTAAAATAAATATTAGTTTTTCCATGAAATAGATACAATCTGATTTAAGTAGGTGGGAGAAACAGTTCCAAATTTACTATTTTCTTGCTTCACTACAAATTTAGGTACCAGTTCCTGCAAAAGAACTTGGGGAAATAAAAGAAGAAAATATCAAAGAAGATGAAGAAGAGAAAGAAACAGTGGCAGCAGAAGGAAAAAAAGATGAAAAAGATCCAAAAGATGAAGATCAAAATAAAGAAGAAAAAGGAGAAGATGGAAAAGAAGACCAAGATGAAAAAGATAAAGAACAAGATAGAAATGAGGACAAAGATACAAATGAGAAAGGAGAAGATGGAACAAAGGAAGACCAAAAAGAACAAGAGGGTAAAGAGCAAGAGGGGGAAGAAGGAAAAGGGAAAAAAGAAGATGGAAAGGAGGACAAAGATGGAATAAGCAAAGGAGATGATAGAGAGGGGGAAGACAGAAAAGAGAAAGGAGATGGAAAAGATGATGAAGATGGTGAAAAGGAAGAAGACAGACAAGAAAAAGATGATAAAGAGAAAGATGGAACAGAGGAGGAAGATGGAAAAGGCAAAGAAGATGAAGAAGAGGAGGAGGAAGATAGAAATGAAGATGAAGGTAAAAATGAGGAAGAAAATGGAAAGGACAGTGAAGAAGATGGAAAAGATGAGGAAGGAGGAAAAGAAGAAGAAGCAAAAGAAAAAGAAAGAGAAAAAGAGGAAGAAGAAGGAAAAGAGGAAAAAGAAGAAAAAGTAGGAAAAGAAGAAGGAAAAGAGAAAAAAGTAGGAAAAGAAGAAGAAAGAAAAGAGAAAAAAGAAGGAAAAGAAGAAAATGGAAAAGGGGATGGGAAAAATGGAGGAGATGAAAAGGAAAAGGAAAACAAGGCTGAAGTTGGAAAAGAAGCTGAAAACAAAGAGGTCAAAAAAGAAGATGGAAAAAAAGAGGAGTCTCTGAGTACTGTTTAACACTGCCCTATATACTTTCATAATTTGTTAACATGTACCTTTGTGTTGTAATGATAATAGAGATAAATATTTTTATCAGATATTTTATAAACACTGCTTTTCTTTAGCACCATTTAATTTCAGAACATCTTCATACTGATTATTATTAGTTACAAAATGCCTAACATGAAAACTTCATCTATAAATATCGTGATTATAGTAGGGGAATGTATAAAAATACACTATTTGTTTTGTGTAAATTATGTGTTAAAATCTTTTAATTGAATTTTATTCCTACATATGATAATTTCACAAAGTAGAAGAATTCCAAAAGAAGGCGTTTCATCCAACATTCTTATGGTTCTTTAGGTGGCTTTTATAAAAATGTGAACTATTTTCATGTAATGCTTAGTTATGTTTCCCAAAGATAATTTTATTAGTAGCTTGGGAAAAGTATAAATAAAATTGTAATCCCATTTTCAAAGAAATATAAACGTTTACTTCAGAAGGGCAGTTTTAAGTACATGTGTGTGCACAATATTTTACTGGATTTATCTAAATAAAAAGATTTCAGAGATGATCATGGTTTGTTATATCTCCAAAACTGTTGTTAATGAAATGTTATAATACTTTATTTTTTCTATTGTGATATTCATGAAAGCAGTAAAACTTTTTCCACTGAACTACCATTAATATAAAACTCAGTTTTAATCATTTAAAGTGTACAATTCAAGTATTAAGTATGTTCATAATGTTGGATAATCATAACCACACTATGTAATTCCATTGCATTTTTAACCACCCAAATAAAAAGTACCACTTAGCAGTCTTTCCCAATTTCCTTCTAACCCACATGCCATTCTCCAGCCCCAGGTAATGGTTTCTTTTATGAAATTTTTGCCAACTATGGACACTTCATGTAAATGGAATCATGCAATATGCATATGCCATTTTGTGTTTGGCTTTGTTAACTTAGCACAATGTTTTTAGGTTCATCTATATCATAACATGCATCATTACTTCATTAACTTTTATGGCTGAATAATATTCCATTTCATCAAAATAAGACATTTTGTTTTTTAATGGACATTAGGATTGTCTCCACATTTTGTCAGCCATGAACAATGCTGCTATGAATATTCCTGTACAAGTTTTAATGCAGATGCATGTTTTCATTTCTTCTGAGTATATATTTAACAGTAAAACCACTGGGTCTTATAATATTTGTCTAACTTTTAGAAAACCTTCAGTCTGTTTTCAAAGTGCTTTCTACATTTTATATCCCCATCATCAATGTATGAAGGTAAAAATTTCTCCACATATTTGCCAACAATTGTTATTCTCTGTCATTTATCATAGCCATCTCTTTAGGGTGATTTGGGAAGATAAAACTCATGTGATTTTGATTTGTTTTTCTCTAATGATGTTTTCATCTCCTCATGTGGCTTGTTTGCTATTCAAATTATTTGTTCATTTGTTTGTTGATTTTTCATTTTAGCATTAACTTTTAAGGAATTTCTCTAATTTTTATATAAGTCCATTGTCAGATTATTTGTGGAAATTTTTTATACTCTGTGGTTTTCACTTTATTGATCACAGTAACTGTATGGAAAGCAATATATAACAGATATATGGATTTATGTCTTTGATTCTTAATTCTGTTTCATTGATCTCTACCTTTATGTTATTATCACACGTTTGATTACCATAGCATTGTAAGCTTTAACATCTAAAGGTATCAGTACTCCAAATTTGTTCTTGATCATTCATAGTTCCTTGCAATTGCATATGAATTTTAGGACCAGTTTGTCCATTTCTGTAAACAAATGTAGTCAAGAGTTTTCATAAAGATTTCAATAAATATGCGTGCATATCAAGCTGGATAATATTACCAGATTAAAATTAATAAGTTTTTCATTCCGTAAACACAAGGTGTCTTTCCATTTATTTAGTTTCTCTTTAATTTCTCTTAGCACTTATGCTGTTGTTTTCACTATATAAATCTTACATCACTTCCTTGGTTAAATTTATTTCTCAATATTTTATTCTTTACATCCTATAAATGGAATGATAAATTGACTTCTGTTTCAGATTGTTTTTTTGCTGATGTATAGAAGTATAACTGATTTTGTACATTTAACTTGTATTGTCAAAATTTGCTGAACTAATTTGTTAGCTCTACTAGACATTTTTGGATTCTTCACAGTTTTTGTTATAAAATTGTGTCATCTGCAGTGATTTACTTCTTCCTTCCTATTTTTTGCCTAACTGCCCTAGATTTAAAAAGACTTCACAAATAATAAGAATACAAAAGAAGCTACACAAAATTCAGGAAGCCTGGTTTTCAAAACATAAGCCTCTGTCATAACATTTCCTAGGGCTAGTAGTTACTGTACCATTTTATACACTTGCTGCATTGCTACAATAGCTACAGTAATTAAAACCAATCTAAAAAGACTGGCTAAACTGCTAGGCACTCCCCTTGATCTGCTTCCAAACTATATTCTGCAACTATAGAGAATGCATTGCCAAAACATCCAACACTGAAGTTGGTCTCTTAAGCACCTTAATCCTCTTCATTTTCGTTGCTAAAATAAAACTAACAATTCTGGTTGCCACTTTAGAAACGTATTCCAGGTTACTAGCAGAATGGTGGTAATGGATAATCTTAACTTTTCATATGAAACCCTGTCCTCTACATAAAGAAGGTAGCTAGCTTCTTTAAAACATTATTTAAAATGCATATTAAAAGATATGACAAGAATGTCATGGCAAATGACAGGAAGTATATTTTTCCACAATATGTTACTAAAGTGAACTTTCATTCTCAGGTCTTGTCTAATTTTCTTTCTTGATGATTTAGTTGGATCTTACTTGACATTTTCCATCAGAATTTTGTTTTCCTTGGCTGGGGCTATAACTCGGTGATTGAGTGCTTGCCTAGCATGTGTGTGGTGCTGAGTTCGATTCTCAGCACTGCACATACATACATACATACATAAACAAATAAAAATAAATATTCATTGACAACTAAAAAATAATTTTTAAAAATTGTTTCCCATAATTCTCTCCTAGAAATCTCAATAATTGCAAGATATAAAGAAAGAAGGGGTATCAATTAATAGGCAAAATACATCATCACTGGAAGTGAATGTGAAGATAAATTGCAAATCTACAGAACAATCTTTGCTAAAGATATGGAGAAATAACAAAGAGTACAAAATATCTATAGGGAAATACGCAAATAGTTCAAGAATGGCATTTGGAGCTTTTTAAATAATATGAGCCGTATTTCTTTATCTAATTTGCAACACAAATTATTGGTATATAATACTGATTCAGAAAAATAATTGATTTCTTTAGTATATAATGCTGAAATTTTTTGTAAAAATTTTTGGTGTGACTTTAGAGTTCCCCATTAGTAAGCATGGTTCTCATAAACCAGGATGAGATGACAAAGACAAATCATGACATCATTTTTTAAAAAATAAGGTTTTGATAATCCTAAAACAGTAGTGTTTTGCCCTTAAGAGACTTTATTTTTTAATATATTACAGCAGAAATTCTCCAGAAATAAAAAATACTGCTCTTAACAAATGGTTTAAATAGGTACAAATATGTAATCAATAAAAATTTGAAATTCAAAAAAAATTGTTTACCATAAGGAACAGAGAAAAAACTTCTCAAATTTGCTGTGGTTTAGAGTCTCCTGTACTAAAATTAAGTTAAATCTAAACCAGGAAATAGGTAAATGACTTGGGTGAGAATACTTTCCCATAATGCAGAAGAAGTTTATTACTATGATATTTATACAATATATATGTTGTTTTTAAGTCTTAAAATAGACATATTTAAGAATATAATCTATCAATAATAATTCATTTTCTCAATAGTTTTTCAGATTGTATTGATCTGTTTAGGACAGAAAATTAAGTCAGGCAAAAGCTGAATTTTATATAAAGTAATGATGACTGTTTCACAAATGTTATGCCTATAACTGGACTTCTTTAATTATGGATATTTATTAAGGATTTTCATAACATGTTTTCTTTAAAATTTTTGTTTACCATAAACACTTCCTTAACAAATTTATATCAAGTATCACATAATAGTGTAGATCAAAATTGTTTTCCTTTCTTTAATTATTACTCAGAAAAGCAAGGGTATTATGTATTCTATCATATATGGATGCTAAAGAGGACATAGAAAAATGGTGTGGAGGATCACATGAAAATTCAAGGGAAACCAATGGATTAGAAGAAAGGGGATAGGCAAAGGGAAGGGGGAAAGGAGAATACCGGGGAAAAATATTGACAAAATTATATTGTGTGTATATGAATATGTAACAACAAATCTCATCTTTATGTATAATTATAATGCATCAATAAACACAGGGAAGGGCTGGGGTTGTAGCTCAGTGGTAGAGCACTTGCCTCTCACATGTGAGTCCCTAGGTTCAATTATCTTCACCACATAAAAATAAAGGTATTAAAAAATAAAATACAGGGAAAAAGTTAAACATTAAAAATTATGTAGTGCTTAAGAACCAAGATTATTATTTAGTAAATGTTATAAGACAATATATTCCTTCAATATCTTAGTAACTGGATCAGGTAGTCTGGACATGATGGGATTTGCTCAATAACATAAAGGAACTTCATGGTTTGTAGAAGTTGAGTTTCAGATCTTACAATGGAGAAAAGGATGGATGTCTGCATGTCTTGTGTTTTCTACAAGGAAAAAAATGTGAAGTGAGATGGATGACTTTGAAATATTTTAGTATTACTTGTTTAAAAAAATGACCTTTTCCTATAGATTAGAAATTATGATAAAGGGTTAATTTCTTCAAATATTTAACATTTAGAAAGTGTTTTTGTGCCAGACCCTGTTCTAAGCAGTTTGCATTTATTTCACATATATGAAGAAAACACATTTGCATTTTAAATTATTTTATATACACATGACAGTAGAGTGTATTTTGACATATTATATATACATGAAGTATAACTTATTCTAAATAGGATTCCATTCTTGTGGTTGTACATGATTTGAACTTTCCCTGGTTGTGTATTCTTATATGGACATAGGAAAGTTCTATTCGAGTCATTCTACTATCTTTCCTATTCCCATGCCCTTCCCTTTCCTTCATTCCCCTGTGTCTATCATTAATAATATCTATCATTAAGAACTTCTGTTCTTCCCATTACCCTTTATTGTGTGTAAACATCCACATATCGGAAAGAATACTTGGCCTTCATTTGGGGGGGAATGGCTTATTTCACTTAGCATGATAGTCTCCAGATCCAGCATTTACCAGCAAAAGTCATAAGGTCATTCTTTTTTATGGCTGAGTAATATTTTATAATATATATATATATATATATATATATATATATATATATATATATCACATTTTCTTTATCTATTCGTCTGTTCAAGGGCACCTAGGTTGGTTCCATAGCTTAGCTATTGTGAATTGGGCTGCTATAAACATTGATGTGGCTGCATCCCTGTTGTTTGCTGATTTTAAGTCCTTTAGGTATATACTGAGTAGTGGAATAACTGAGTCAAATGGTGGTTCCATTCCCAGTTCCCTGAGCAATTTCTTATACTGCTTTCCAGAGTGGTTGCACTAATTTCCATTCCCACCAGCAATGTATGAGTGAACCTATTTCCTCTCATCCTTGCCAACAGTTATTGCTACGTGTATTCTTGATAATTGCCATTCTGACTAGAGTGAGATGGAATTTAAGTGTAGTTTTAATTTGCATTTCTGTAATTGCTAGAGATGTCTGGTGGGGGCTATACTTCAGTGGCAGAGCGCTTGCTGAGCATGTGTGAGGCACTGGTTCAATCCTCAGCACCCCATTGTGTGACCCTTTACAACTAAAATATATTTTAAAAGGCTTTGGTTTTTTAAAAAAAAGTTACAAAATTTTAGAAAAACTAGTTTGTTTTAAAATAAGTTAATAGAAGAGAAATTGCAAAAGAAATAAAGCAAGAACACTTTTCAAATTAAATCACCTGAAATTCTAAATTAAAATGATCCAAGTGCTTAGCACAACAATTTTTTAAAAGAATCATGTCAGTAGATATCGTCCAGAAATTTTAGAACATCATGTATTAAAAGGAAAATCTAAAAGCTCATATTCTCTCTCTCTCTCTCTCTCTCTCTCACACACACACACACACACACACACACACACACACACAATCAAAAACCACAGAAAATCATATCAGATGAAACAGAATAGAAAAGCACTTCCCAATAACAAAACAAAACTGAAAACTGGAAGACAATGAGTCATGCCTTCTAAATTATGTGATAATATAATTTCAAACCTAGATTTCTGTATCTGGACAATTTGTCAATCAAGTATGAGAGTAAAATTAGAACATTTTCTTATATATAATGTCTCAAGAATTGCATCTCCTATACATTCTACTAGAAAGATAACAGAGGAGAATGGTTTAATTTTGTTAAGTATGGAAATGTTATTTTATCTAAAATATGTTTAGCTTTACTTTCTATCCATAGAAATTATTTCATATTACCACCTTAGTAAAGTGATTTAGATGAGATCTAAGACAAGTGATATATATGGAAGTAGACTCTAAGTTTGGAGTCAAAGATCCTCTTAGGTTTGGGTTGATGTAGGTAATTAGATTTCTTACATATTTTTGTTAATGCTCACTTATTAATATCTGAAGAAAAGACTTTTTGGTTTTAATTTTCATGTTTCATTTTTCTACATTTCAAAATATAAATAATAAGCTATTCCCTAAAAGTGGATAAGTTAACCAGCCTGAAGACAAGAGCTAAGACAACAACAATAAATAGAGCTCAAGTGTTTATGAAAACATAACTGGAGCAATCTTGAATATA